CAGCGGGTGATCCGCGCAGAACTGAAGTAGTCGATCACAGTTGTATGTTTGTTGGGAGGGAAGGGCGAAGTGCCCTCCTAGACAGTCTTCGGATGCGCTCAGTTTTCCAACCTGCTCGTTAAAATCAACTGCAGCACTACAATATCAGAGTTGCGGCTCAACCGAATCAGTTCGGCAAGTTTGTCGTAAAATTTGTCCTTTTGTGAAGCGGGACTGCAGTTGGTTGGTACATACGCGGAAATTATGAACAAACACCTTTTGGTGTTGCTACCCTTCCGAACACTAACTGATCCCTGTAGCCTCATTGCGCACAGACGATTATTGACGGGTATCCAATCTATCATAGAGGCTTCAGCTTTATCGTTTAGTACGATACCTACATCACGCTGACCCAGTGAGCGGGCTGCGTCGTCTCCTGATGTGTGAAGGAAATACTTCGAGGACAGACCCGGCGCACTCAGGTGGCTTATAATACTAGGATCCTGAATTCGTTTCTCCGATACGAAGCAGACATCGATTTCTAGAGACTGCATTGTACGCGCAAGACACACCTGCTGACCCACCTGCATAACAGTCCTCACGTTGGAAGCCCCCAGATGGAAAGGTTGACGACGCTTCAGAATCTGCACTTTATTTACAGGAAAACTAGTTACAGTGCTATTTGGCAGAGACCTTTGGCGATTGACGACCAAGTTATCTGAGGGAATATCACGGGTCAAAACAAGGGGTAAAGTGATAGGGTCGGGAACGGAAGATAAAGAGTTAAACAAAGGTTTGGATATCTGAGCAGTAGCCCACTTATCACTACCCACCCCGCTCGATGCAATGGGCAGCGCGATCCTGATTATCCTGCGCAACGACCGATGCAGTATGGAATTATTTTTTGTTTGTGTGTTCATTGGAGCTTTATGGATGGGTACTGCCAGAGTGTCCAGCCACTAAGCAGGAGAACGATTAGGGTTCTCAACCAAAGCCTTTAGTTTTGACAAAAATCTAACCTCAAGGAAGCGATTAATGCGGATTGGAGGCCCATTAGCTTGGATCGATTATTCCTCCAACATGTTTTATCGACTGAGACGCCGACTCAAGTCGAGCCCCCAACCTGGAGGACCAGGAGACTGAACTTCGTCTGACCTCTACCCATTGACCCTCCAGGCATGATTAGATCTGTGGCTCGGTAAAAGCCATTCTGTGTAGCACTTTGGGTCATAGAGGTGCACAAGTCATCACACCACGTCAAGGTGCAGTCTCGTCGTGCATTGGGGGGACATCTAAAACAAACAGAATAAAGCGGTAGTCTGGGCTCAGTCCCAGCTGTTGATTATGGCACGCCACGTTTTTAGATATATCGTTTAGAGTGTACTGTACATTGTTTATTGAGTAGCTGGCCGAACCCCAAACCAACTTCATGTGCTCGATCTTCGGAGATTTAGGGGTCATACAGATGTATCAAGATTGGTACATCAAGGAAGTTGTTCAATTCCCTCTTAAATGCTGATACTTGACTAATCGCACGAATGTGTGGAGGAAGCCCATTCCAGAGAAGCGAGTATTTGATTATCCAAAAAGTTGGATCGCAAGCGGTTGCGAGAAAACGGTACACAGACGATATTACACCCTCCTCGTAAAGAATATCTATGATTATACTGATCTTTTAATTCTGGAAAGGCCATACTTCTCTTATGCATTATGTTTAAATGGAAAAAGGTTAGGTTAATTTTTATTGGTCGATTCTGGAAAGGCCGGCATTATGTTTGAATGGAAAAAGGTTAGGTTAATTTTTATCCGTCGTAGCCATAGCGGTTTCAAGTTCCAGTGCTATACATCGTTCTTTATAATTTGGGCAATTGAAAAAGCCAAATAATTGTTTTGTGAAGTAGCGTTGAACTTTTTCGATCGCTACTCTGTCGCACTGGCCCATATTAATGCAAATTAACGTACCGAATTCTAAATGCGGTCTGGTAAATATCATGTAGATACTGAGTTTACTGTCCAGATATCTAAAAGCTTTCTGTATCATTCCAATGGTCCTGCGAAATTTTGCTACTTGGACCTCGGCATGCTCTGAGAAGTTGAAGGAGCCGGAGTAGTGCATATCCTAATTTATTACCAATGGTCTGTCAGGAATAGCGTTACCATTGATACCAAGTGCACCGGGGGGTAGAATGCACTTATGTGTAAGTATGCAACTTTTGTTTGCCGAAAACTCCAATAACCAGTCATTGCACCATGAACTGAGGGAACGTAGATCAGAGCTAATATTCTCAATTGTATTAATCAGGTTGTTGTGTTCAAGCATATACAACAATTTTCTGTCGTCTGCAAACAAGAAGGGTTTCCCATGACGGACCACGGTGAAAATATCATTGACATACATCAGGAATAATAAAGGGCCCAGCGCGCTACCTTGTATTACTCCACTGGTCACTGGTTTAGGTTGTGACAGTGTCCCATTATTACTGACCATCTGGTTACGAGAATCCAAGTAGGAATCTAACCACGAATAAAGGGGATCTACAATACCATAAGACTTGACCTTTGATAGTAACCGATTGTGAGAAACCTGGTCAAAGGCCTTTGTCATATCCAGGTAGATTGCAATCAATGATTTCCCATTATTGACAGCGATCGTAACCAGATGGAGAAAGTCGGTCATGCAAGTTGTGCATGAGCGACTTTTCAAAAATCCATGTTGGTCTTTACTAGCAGGATTATTATTAATGAGGGGTTTGGGCAGCTTAAATTTTATCAGTCTTTCCATAATTCTTGAAATAACAGGAGTGTGGTTCACTGGTCTGTAATTGGCAGAATATTGTCGTGATCGCTTCTTGTGAATGGGGATAATCACAGAAGTTTTCCACTGTGTTGGGTACCAGCCATATTTCATGGATATATTAAAGATGTTTGAAAGAACAATTGGGATGTCAGGTCCCCCCATCTTTTCGAGAATTCCAAGACATCTTTATGTCTGCTCGTGAAATTAATAGCACACTTTGTATGTGATATTCCTGTTGTGCTCGTCAGTAGTATGTGTCGTTTGTCCGAAAGGGCAGCGATACAATGGTACGTGTCGCGAGATATGTTCCCACAAGCAGCTTACCCTCAACCAACAGCTCGGTGGTCCGTCCAAAATTGTCGAAATCGCCGAAACTGTGGTTAACAAATGTAAATATGGTCGAGGAAGACCATCCGAAACTGCTTGGGTTTTGGAAGGTACGACCGATTCGAAGGTAATTGATACTTAGAAAAGGTAGACAACCGATCGGCAAGCACACTACTGCCAATAATATAACGATGGGTTATGCCTGGTACCATCATTTACTCGGATGAATGGGCAGCCTATCAAACGCTGTCGTCCTTGGGATATACGCACTTGACGGTGAATCGTTCCCGAGGATTCATCAACCAGGCGAAAGGAGTCCACACCAACAACGTGGAAGGCTACTGGAGCCCGATAAAGAAGAGAATGAAGGCAGTTTTCGGCTCGGTTGGTGATAGGAGGTGGGAACATCTGGACGAAGTTAGGTACCGCTACTGGTTTCACTTTTCGCCCTCTAACATTGAAATGGACACTGAAACCTTTTTGCAGCACATCAGTGAGCGTTATCCCATCGATTGATGTGCTATTGATATTTCACTCTTATTAATTTTATTTAATACATTTTTATGAACGGTTTCTCGTCTTTAATTCATCGAAATGGAATATAAGAGCGACCATACTACTTATGAGTAGTCAGTTTATAATTGCGATTTTATCCTGGGGGTGACTGTCGATCAGGTCTACCAATAAAAGTGTAGGTTTATAGAAGGTACATTTAGAAAATATACACGATGGAGATGGTGGAGGAGCGAAAACGAAAACGCAGTGCAAACGGAACACAAAACGGACAGAGTCGCACACGTATCTATGGAGGATGGAGGAGTGTACTAATTATGTCAATGGAAATTGAAGTAACGGGGAACCTTGTATCGAGAAGATTCGAGGTGCGGCCCTAATGGGAGGAAATACAGAGAGGTGGTCTGCGAAACAAAGGACGCGGGAGGATGGAGATACGCGGATAGGAATGAATAGGAAGGAAGAGTACGGCGAGTTCATACATTTGTCAAATTACATGATTCTCTGTATGCTACAACACTGCTTGCTTCTGAGAACACATTCTTTGGGTTCGGGGATTTGATCAGTCATGGAATGATTTAGATTATTGAGGCGTTGGTAGCTTTGATGTGAGACTGATTACATGCAAGACACCCAACTTCAAACCACCTTGTAGGTGAGGCAGGGGGTGTGATTCCCAACCTGGTCTGAAATGCGGACGCATGTAGTCAAAACGGTGGAGACAGCTGTACCCAACAACCATTGCCGGAGCCAAATTGTCCATTATGGGTGTAGAACCCAAGCATTCGACAGGCTCAAACCAACCGAATCTGAAAAAAAAGACGATACTCAGCAGTCTGGGCTAATACCCAGCTGTGAAGAGGTGAGGGGGAACAGAGCATGTCATGAAACAATATGCAAAGCGGAATACTGCAAGGAAGTATGTATACATACACACACGCGCATAAATCGATAAATTTCGCTACACCAGCAGGTTTCAAGAGCGTTAACGTGAAAATTATTTTCTGTGATTCTGTTCTCCTTTTTATGGATTTACGATATATTATGGATTCTATCGCCAGTGTTCAAATCTCCCCATGTGCTACTTGTAGTAAAAAAAATGGATGCTTGCACAAAAAATCTACAGTACGACGGTTGTGATCATTGGCTGCACTTAGGTTGCACTACGGTCAGCCCCAAAGTGTATGATTTACTGTGCTCATTTAAATCGGACTTCCTCAAAGTGATTTGTGATAAATGTGCTGTTATTCAATTCGATGGCTCCAGGGTGTATGGCAATGCGTCCCTCCAATGTTGATTAACCAGTCATTACTATGCCCAACGTGTCTCTACTACCGGAAGCTAATTTTCTCACTGACGTCCAGCGGCCGATCAGCTCATTGACTTACGCGGATCTTATTCGCTCCCCACGTCCTGTGATGACACGAAGCGAGCGACCCAGACCATCTGACAAGTCCGAAGTCCCGCCACAACTCGGACCTTCAGTGTCTGTGTCCACCTCTCCCCCGGCTACTCGTTGCAGGGTACGCGAACGTTTGCCGATAACCGGGGAATCTAGCGAACCCCGAACAGCGGACCCGCCGGTGGATGCCGGACCTTCCTCTTCTCTTCTTCCTCCTCCTCCTACCATAATTGGCACTGCACTGAACCATCCAGGGGCCAGTGCATTATCGTGGTCAACTTACTTGAATCAATGGATAGCTCTTCGCAGTCATGTCTTGACCATGATCTACTACTTTTACGTGGCTGCCTGCAGAAGGTGTTCGACAGTTCTGAGGCGGCGGGAGGGGTACTTAACAGTCGGACTGGTGTACAGAACCCCGTTAGCCAATGTTGAGGATGTTCTGCACAGCATCTGTTGGTGGACCGCAGGCGTACGCTGCGTGATTCTGGGCAATTTCAACGCTCCCAATATCAACTGGGAGACTGGAGTTTGTGGCTACCGTGATGGTACGTTCGGGTGTCAGCTATATGAGCTGTTGGAATACCCCTCATTATATCAGCATATTTGTGAACCCCCTCGTATCCAAAAGAGTTCGGCATCGGTGTTAGACCTTGTCATATCACCGAGACATTCTGACGTGGTCAACATAGTTAGACTGGATCCTTTTGGATCTAGCGACCATGTGGCTATTGTAATTTATTGGCTTACTAACTTTCATATCGTGAAGGATGCCCAGGAGCGTCCCAATATGTGAAAGATACAATATGAGGAACTGCGAGCGGCTGCACAGTGTCCTCAGTGGCCAACAGATGAGGATGTCGATGATGATGTTGGAACCAGGTGGGATAAGTTCAAGAACAACATCATCAATCTAGTCAGCATGTTCGTTCCATCCAGGCTAGTACGGACGTATGCCAAATGCCCCCTTGGTTCGACCGTGAATTCCGAAACCTTCTACGCAGACGCAATGGGGCTTGGAAATTCTTGCAGCACACCGGTAGTGGGTACGACCACTACAGAGATCCGCAAACAGTGTACCTTAACCAAACGCTGGAAACGGGCGGCCTTCGAGAACAGTTTAGTGGCGACTGCTGTTACCGCGCCTAAGAGGTTATTCGCTTATCTGCGACGAAGAACCAAAGTTGCTACCACCCTACCACCACTCCTGGATCAAGGAATGCTAAAGGATGATCCAGGTGAACAGGCGGATATATTCGCAAGGCATTACGTATCAGTGTATGAGTCAGAGCAGCCGTTACCTGAAAGCATGCACACTCAGGACACTGAATCACCCGGTTTGGCTGTCTCGGAGTTCAACCCATGTGAAGTGCAGGTTGCCCCGGAGAAAGTGAACACCAACCAATCCCCGGGTCCTGACGGATTGGTGTTAAAAGAGCTCGCGGCTGTGATATCAACCCCCCTTGGTGCTTTGTTCAATTGCTCCCTCAAATATGGTCGGCTCACTGAGGATTGGAAGAGTGCCCTGATATCGTCTCTGTTCAAGAGCGGTTCAAGGGCAGATCCGGCGAATTACTGTACCGTCAGTCTGACTTGTATCTCTTGCAAAGTGATGGGGCGCTTGAGCTCTAGCAGACTACACCACTATCTGACGGAGCGTCAACTGCTGTGCCACCAACAGAATGGTTTTCGTCCAATGAGATCCTGAACATCAAACCTTCTGGTTAATGAGGAATGGTGTGCCGCCAAAGCCACTGGGTCTGTCACGGTCATTGTCTATGTCGACTTCAGCAAAGCCTTCGATAAGGTTCCCTATGACAGACTGCTCTTGAAGTTGAGAAGCTTCGGAGTGATAAATCCATTACTCACTTGGGTGGAGAACTTTCTGAAGGGACGACGATTTGGGGTGAAGATCCGTGATTTGAACATCCGCTGCGCATCCAATTCTCAGCGGAGTCCCGTAAGAGTCAGTTTTGGGCCCCGTACTGTTCCTCTTGTACAGCAACGACCTCCCCAGTAGGCTATGGTCACCATGCCTCGTCTTCGCAGATGATCTGAAACTATGGAGACCACTTCAGTCGTCACTAGACGTGTCAACCTTACAAGCGGATTTGGATGGTTTATCTCAGTGGGCGAAAGAGTG